GCCTGGACAATCCAGGGTCCCTCCTGGGTAGCACCGACCCAGTCATTTGCGCCACCACTGCTTCCCAGGACCTGCGCACCCTGATGCAAGGGTCTTAGCTGCTGGCTAAATGCCCACTCCCCAAGTTTTGTTTAACTTTTTACAGTGCGTAAAATGTGACAGCATCTACTTTACAGACGAAAGCCTTATTATCAAATGTCTGATAAAAATACAGCTTTGATCACAACCAGGAACACACAGGTGAAAAAGAATACCCTACCTCTGTTCAAAAAATAGCTGTTCAAATTAAGACGTCCTTCAGCCGTCTGAGACCTCCGCTCAGAGGAACGGATGGCGAAAGGCACCGCCTTCCGGCATGTCAGGGGCACGGCACTCGCTAATGACCACAGTGAACCCAGCACACGTCACACCGACACGTGGCTGAGTCCCACAGACACACTGTGAGACAGCCACAGTGAAGTGCCGTTCCTTCCGGACTGCTACTGTATCAGCTGCTGGGCCCGTGCCCCACTGAAAATGCGAAGAACAAAATAATACGGACATAAGCACTTAAACCATTTTTGTACTGACGGAAACCTTCATGGAAGTATTCAGATTAAATTACAATATTCATGTTAAAACAGAATGAAATGTTTGCATAATAAAAGCTTTAACGTGTGAAAAAGCCACTTTTCTTTGAATTCAAAATATGCCATCAGATGGACATACACAAAAGTATTTAAGGGGCCAGGGTTGTGGCACAGCGGGTTAAGGCACTGCCTACTCCATCAGCACCCCACATGGGCACTGGCTGGAGTCCCAACAGCTTCACTTCTGACCCAGTGCCTGTTAATGCGCCTAGGAAAGCAGTGGAAGATGGCCCAAGTGCTCGGGCCCCGGCACCCACAAGGGTGATGTGGATGAAGATCCTGGCTCCTGGCTTCCGCCTGGCCCAGCTCCGGCTGTTGCAGCAATTTGGGGAGTGAACCAGCAGAGGGAAAACCTCTCTCTCTCTCTTTCTCTCTCTCTCTCCCCCCCCTCCCCCCACCTTCCTCCCTCCCTCTCTCTCTGCCTTTCAAATAAATAAATAAATATTTTTTAAAAAGTATTAAAAGCAGTTGTTTTCAGAGGGAAGGAATACAAAGCCTTTGTTTTCTTCTGCCTTTCAAATGTTGTAACTGGCAGAGTGAAGGTATATTTGAAAGAAAAAATCTTTTACAAACCCTCAGTAAATCCATTCCCATGATACAAAAAAGAGAGGGGGTGGCAAGAGGGGTGGGTATACATGAGACCTGCACACTCCCCACTGGAGGGCCTGGGTTCCAGCCTCCACTCCCTCCTAGTTCCAGCCTCCTGCTGATGTGCACCCTGGGAAACCTTGTTCAGCTACCAAAGGCTGAAATGAGACTCAGAGCATACTTGAGGAAAGAGCGATTTTTGTCCACACTAATGTTAAAATCTTTCTCTAAATGCTTTTTTTTTTTCATTTACCTGAAAAGCAGAGTGACAGAGAGAGAGAGAGAGAGAGAGAGAGAGCGAGCGAGAGACAGAGAGATCTTCCATACATTGGTTCACTCCCCAATTGCCTGTAACAGCCAGACTAAGCTAAGCCAGGTCAACCTCTATCCAGGCCTCCCACATGGGTGGCAAGGGCCCAAGCCACCATCTGCTGCCTCTCAGGCACATTAGCGGGAAGCTGAATCCAACAGGGAGCAGCCAAGACTTGAGCCAACGCTCTGACGTACACCAGGCAGGCGTCCCAAGCAACGATTAACCCATTACACCACAATGCCCACCCCTTGCACCAGGATATGAATGGACCAGTAGTCTCCCATCTGTGCTACGAATGGCATGGTAGTTCTATGAATATACAATACACATTTAAAAGCTTTGTTTATTTATTCAAAAGGCAGAGAGAAAGGGAGCTCTCCCATCTGCCTTTTCACCCCTCAAATGAACCCAACAGCAGGACCAGGCTGAAGCCAGGAGACAGGAACTCCAGCCGGGTCTCCCACACGGGTGGCTGGGCCCAAGGACTTAGGCCATCTTCTGCTGCTTTCCCAGGTGTGTCAGCAGGGAGCTGGATGGGAAGTGGAGCAGTCGGGACTCAAACTGGTGCTTCGACATGGGATGCTAGCGTGGCTGCACCACGACACAGGTTACCACAATGTATGTCAATTCCAGGAGCATGGGCAAAATGTGTCAGCATCTTGTTGAAAAGAAGGGTGACTTCTGTTAAACACCACTGAACCGCCATGTCACTCCTATCAAAACTGCCTTCTCGTTTCTGGAAAGATTCAGTCCAGACGATAATTCGATTTTATAAACATCACTGTCAAAGAGAAAATCCTTCAAACAGGAAAAGAAGCTTGGGACCTGGGGTGGGATCAAGCTGAAAGGATTTCACAGTGCATACTTGAGTTTCTATTCCTCAGGTCCAGGTAGCAGCAGTGACCCCCCCCCACCGCCCCCCCACACACACCAGGCTCTAGAGCCTCCCAGAAATGGCGTTTTGGTTTTCTTTTTCTTTAAAGATTTAATTTATTTATTTGAAATGCAGAGATACAGAGAGAGAAGGAGAGAGAGAGTGAGCTTCCGTCATTCACTCCCCAAACGGCCACAAAGGCCGGGGCTAGGCCAGGCCAAAGCCAGGAGCCACGAGCTTCATCTGGGTCTCCTACGTCGGTGTAGGGATCCAAGCACTTGGCCATCCTCCACTGCTTTTCGCAGATGCATTAGCGGGAGCTGGACTGGAAGTGGAGCAGCCAGGACTTGAACTGGCGCCCACACAGATGCCAGCGCTGCAGGCAGAGGGTTAACCTTCTACGTCACAGTGCCAGCCCCAGAGATGTCACTTTCAAAGCAAAGGGGAAACGAATGAGCACAAGTGAAAGTACACTGCAGGTGACTTCCAACACATTTGAAAATGAGCGAAATCAGGGCTGGTGCTGTGGCATTGCAGGTAAAGCCGCCGCCTGCAGTGCCGGCACCCCATATGAGCGCCAGTTCGAGTCCCTGCTGCTCCTCTTCTGATCCAGCTCTCTGCTGTGGCCTGGGAAAGCAGCAGAAGATGGCCTAAGTCCTTGGGCCCCTGCATCCGCGTGGGAGACCCAGAGGAAGCTCCTGGCTTCTGGCTTTGGATTGGTGCAGCTCCAGCTGTTGTGGCCAACTGGAGAGTGAACCAGCGATGGAAGACCTCTCTCTCTCTCTCTCTCTCTGCCTCTCCTCTCTCTATGTAACTCTTTCAAATAAATAAATAAATCTTAAAACATACACACACACACATACACACACACACACATACACAGGCCTGGTAGCAAAGAAGACCCACAAGCAGAGGGAACACCTAGGTTGTCTCCCAGTCCAATCCTCCTTCTTTTTAGGAGACCTGCAACCAGCCCACACTTAAAGTACAAATCCCTCCCATCTGTCCATCTGCTCCAAGATTAGCGCAAACAAAACAATTAAGCAGACTTTAAAGTTAACAGGAAACGAAAAAACAAAAATAACTGGGGTGTGGCATCACGTCTGAAGAAGCCTTACAAACTGCAAACGCACGCACGGACAATTCTGGTCAGCACCAGACAGCAGGAGACCGGGGTTCAGTCCCCAGCACAATGGACCCTCGCTACAAAATACAATGACAGGGCCGGTGTAGCCGGTAAAGCCGCCGCCCTTCAGTGCCAGCATCCCATATGGGCGCCAGTTCAAGTCACGGCTGCTCCTCTTCCAATCCAGCTCTCTGCTGTGGCCTGGGAAAGCAGTGGAGGATGGCCCAAGTCCTTGGGCCCCTGCACCCGCGTGGGAGACCCAGAAGAAGTTCCAGGTTCGGATCAGGGCAGCTCCGGCCGTTGCGGCCATCTGGGGAGTGAACCAGTGGAAGGAAGACCTTTTTCTCTCTCTGCCTCTGCCTCTCTACCTCTGCCTTTCAAATAAATAAGTAAATCTTTAAAAAAATTGCAATGAGACCTTCTTTTCTTAAAAGAAACTAACTTCAACTACTTCAGACTCTGGAAAACCCAGGGGGGAAGGAAACAGCATTAAGATACCGATTAACCGCACATGCTATACGCTCACTTGCTTACACTAAAGATATGCTTATGCTACGTGCTATGGTCAAGTTCTCATGCTAACGTTCTTACAGACGAGATAAACCCAGTCATTGTTTCCTTTATTTAAGAGTGGTCTTCAAAGTTCAGCGTGCAATAGTTTATGATTGTGCTAAAGAACAGAGACGCACCATGCAGAATAGAGGCAGTGTCCACGTAACTCTGAGGATGCTAGCAATAAACCAGTTCTTGTGTTTTCACCGTTGTTTTATTTTACTTTAAGGGTCTGAAAGCATCATCTAAAACTTCCTTTAGCTCCTCGGGCACCTTGTGGTGAAAGTGACAGGGCAGGCGCTGATCAGACTTGCAGACTCCCCACGGCGGGAGGGCTCCACCACGCCTCACTCAGATCCTGTTGATCCTGACTCCACACACAGGTTTCCCTGCTACTCAGCTTAGAAGTGGCAGATCAGAGGGCAGGAAGGGCATATGTTGACAGAGGACAATACTGGAGAGATGAACTAAAACCAGACGGCCTTGAGGAGTCATCTTGGGATAGGCGGGAACTGCCAACACCCTACACCGTGTGCTGCTCCAGCCATATTACCCGCACCGTACAAAGAAACGAATGTACACGGCGATGACCTTGACACATCAAAAAGGTTGTGGTTAGTCTATTCTGAATCTATGGTTAGTCAGATGCGTCTTCCTGGTAACATACCATGAAGACATTTTAAGACGGTCAAAATAATTTAGCTGTTAAACAGATGACAGTTCCATGAAAAATTCACTTAAGTCCCTAAATGCTGAGTGGGTTAAGTCTTTAAAATAACATTAAAGTCATTATCTCAGAGCGCAGATAATCAAATTTTCTGATGTTTTTAGAGGTGGGGGGGGTCTAAATTACACTAAAATTCTTGCCCCTCCCCAAACTTTCTCCTTTCAAAAACCAAATGTATTATTGTTACCAACCTTCACTTCCATTCTCCCGCGATTGCCAAAATGAAAAGAATATTTGCAGAGTTTTCTCCATCGTAGCACTAACCTCTCCCACAGGCTACTTAGGCTAAATATAGCCCTCGTTAAAAAACAAGTACTTCCGAAGCGACTGTGCAAACTCTGCACACGGCAGAGCGTGCTTGGGTCTCAGGGCAGCACACTGGAAATCAGTGGCTGTGTCGAACCGGTCGCGTTCGTCTAAGGGCAGACACAAAACCCCGCACGCCCGAGAGAGCAGCACTCGGCTCCGGCTCCAAAAACAACAAAAATGGAGCACAGGTGGACGTGTCCGCCCGAGTCTCTGCAGCCACGGGGGAAACCCAAGACCCAGAGCAAGGAAGAAGCGCCCTGCACGTCCCGTCCGAGCATCACGAAACGGACCTGCCGGTCGCCGGGGCGCGCCTTAAGTTTCCCTTCAAATTGGCGGAGACTTGGCGGCGATGGTACACGGCTGTGTGTCCTACAGAGGGTTGGGGGCTCCAGAAAGCTCCACCTGGGAGGACTCGGCTAACGCCCTGGCCCCGCATCCCGGCGGCTCCCCCGGACAGCAGCCCACGAGGAGGGAACCGTCTCTTGAGTATGAAGACTCGGGGTGATGGGGGAGAAGCCCCCCACCTCGGCGAACGCCCCCCACGCCCCCACGCCCCGTCCCCGCACCTTTGATGAGGGCTCAGTGCAGTAGCGTAGAAGTACCACCCGGAGTTAGTCCACTCGGGCCTCGTGCCGGCTCCGTGGCAAGGCAAGTAGTATATCGTCAGCCAAGCACGAAAACTGTCATCAGGTACGATGTCCCGAGCGTGTACAGCCTGCGCGACTCGGCCCCGGCTCCTCGGCGCGGCCCACACGCCCGGGCGCCCGGCTTCCGACTGCACCCACAGGACGCGGGGCCCAGCGGCCGCTCCCTGCCCAGGCGCCAGCGGCTGCGGCGGGCAGCCCCGGGTCGCGAGCGACGGCCACCGCGGCTGCGCGCGGCCCTGCGCGCGGCCCCGCGGCCACCGGCCTCGCCCCTGGCAGCCGCGGAGCCGGATTTGGGTTTCCCGGGAGGCCGGGGAGCGCGCGACTCGCCCCGCGCACGCGCGCCGCGTGGCTCCCCGCCGGCGCCGGGCCCCCTCTCGGTTCCTCAGCCTCGTCTCCCCGCGGCCGGCGGCTTCCCTCCCGGCTGCCACCTGCCACGCCCGGGCCTGCAGGCCCGCACGCCGCCGCTCGGCCGTGCGCGGGAGGCGCGGCCATCTTGAGGCCCGGCCGGCCGTTCCTCGCCGCCCGTGCGCACGGCGGGCCCACGCGGGCCCCACGCCAGGCCTCGCACCCGCGGGGCCCTGCGAGTTATCCGCCCCGCCACCCCGGCCCGGGCCACAAACGGTTAAGCGCCCCATTTAATTTTTCCGATTTGGTGCGTGTCCCTGGGAAGAGTGAGGGGAACGTTGGCGTCCATCCTACTTCCAGTCTCCCAAGAGGAGGGCGAGGTGTCGGCTCCTGGGACCCGCGGGCCAGGCCCTCTCCCGGGCCCTGAGTGTGGCCTGCGGGGTCCCCGCTGCGCCCCGACGCGGCGGCACCGCACCTGCCCCGACTTGCAGGGTGGGGGTGGGGGCTTGTCCCTGCAGGGACTCAGGAGGCAGTGGTCACCTCCGGCTGGAAGCTGACCCATCCCTCCTGAAATGTAGGCCTGGAATGGATACAGACTGTCCCCCCTCACTGAGTGTAGATACAGTACCTGACTTCAGCCACGCCAGTGAACATGAAAAGCGATGCCCAAGGAAGAAAGAGTGCGTGGATTTCAAAAAAAAAAAAACCTGTGCCATTTCATCCCATTGTTCCACGAACTTTTTGAAGTACCCCTATCTGTGCTGGTTATGGGCAAACCATGTCATTTTAACCCTTTAAGTTTACAAAACAAACAGAACAGACCTGTGTGAAGTTTCCATGTACCCCCGACCTAGTCACAAACCTTGCCCAGCTTTCCCTAGGTTGTTCTTTTTTTTTTTTTTTTTAATCCAAATTCCCTATATGCCCCACCCCCATTCCTCCCAGCCTCTAGTAATCAGCCTTCTGTGTTCACAGTGACAAGCCAGTCTTAACAGTTACTGTAGTGGCCCATACATAGTCACACGGGGCTGCGTGCATTTAAATAATTCGGTTCCTCTTCTGAACTAGCCACACTGCACGTGCTCGGAGCTACCTCATTGCACGCTAGCAAAAAGTGTATGGGGCAGCTCCTAGCTAAAATATTACAGGGATTAAGCCTGAATCTCTGATTATACAGATTTGTGTATTGCAAGGCGGTCTGGGGGTGTCCACTGGCATCAGACCCTGCCTTATCTCTTAGATTTTTGACCAAAGACCTTTCGGAGTAACCCCAGGACACAGGCAGGAGCCCTTTAGGGGGAAGATGGAATTTAGTTTTGCTTTCACGGGTCTGGACTTCAGGCTTCGACCCGGGAGAATTGCTCAGATATCCCGAGGAAGTTCTTGGAGAAGCGATCAGAACTCGACATTAAATCCTATCTCTAAAGGTCAGACGCTAAAATTTATCTGGCAGAACATTAAACAGGAGAGCTAAGAGTAAACAAACAGAAATTTTAAGAAAACATCTAAACCAGTGTGAAGGGCTAGCTTATTCAATAGTAGTGGAGGGAAAAGAACTCTCTGGATCTAAGTTAGAGCCACAGCCTGACGTCAAAATAAAGCTAACCCGGTTTGCGGAGTTTCTGTGGCTCAGCCTGGTCCCTTGGCAAGCTGTGGCGTGCAATCGCACCACAAAGTTGGCCCTACTCTGCCCTGGAGGTCCTGTAGTCAGCCCTTGCCCCTAGCATCTTGTCCAGCCTGAGGTGATTTTTTTTTTTTTGATAGGCAGAGTGGACAGTGAGAGAGAGAGACAAAGAGAAAGGTCTTCCTTTGCCGTTGGTTCACCCTCCAATGGCCGCCGCGGCCGGCGCGCCGCGGCCAGCACACCGCGCTGATCCGATGGCAGGAGCCAGGAGCCAGGTGCTTTTCCTGGTCTCCCATGGGGTGCAGGGCCCAAGGACTTGGGCCATCCTCCACTGCACTCCCGGGCCACAGCAGAGAGCTGGCCTGGAAGAGGGGCAACCGGGACAGGATCTGGTGCCCCAACCAGGACTAGAACCCGGTGTGCCGGCGCCGCAAGGCGGAGGATTAGCCTAGTGAGCCGCGGCGCCGGCCCTAAGGTGATCTTCTACATGGGGTCAGCAGTGAGTTGTCAGCAGGGCCCAGCACCCATGCTTGGTGAAGGGGACCCAGGTGGAGCACCCCAGCACCAACCACATCCTCATTGTACAAAAGCGGAAACTAAGGCCTTGGGAGGGAAAGGACTTTACCCACGCCCGCAGCTGGACGCTGTGTGCCGGAGCTGCTGAGGGTGTCACACTGACTTCAGGAAGCCAAAGGCCTTTCCTTGAGATCACTCAGCAATGTGGGAGACGTAGGGGTTCTGGACTCTAGGGAAAGGCACACAGAAGCTAAACCCTTGTTTTTACATTGACTTAATTAATTAGAGACACATCCCAGGCGCGTTAGCAGGGAGCTGGATCAGAAGTGGAGCAGCCGGGACTCAAACTGGCACCCATATGAGATGCTGGCATCACAGGCTGGAGCTTTACCTGCTATGCTGGCCGCTCCTCTTTCAGTTTTCAAACTCATTTTTTTAACTTATGTATTTGAATGGCAGAGTGACAGAGAGAGAGAAGGAGACACACACACACATACAGAGAGAGAGAGAGAGAGAGAGAGAGAGAGAGAGAGAGAGAATGCTTCCATTCGCTGGTTCACTCCCCAAATGGCCACAATGGCCAGGACTGGGCCAGGCTGAAGCCAGGAGCCAGGAGCTTCGTCCAGGTTTGCTTTCCCAGGCACATTAACAGAGAGCTGGATTGAAGTGGAGCACCCGGGACTTGAACCGGTTCCCATATGGCTATGCCACATGCCAGCCCCTAGAATTTTTAAATGTTCAACCTAATTAAAAATAATGCAGATGAGAACAAGCTATGATTCTTCACGTAGCAAATTGGAAAAACTGGTTCTTCTTCCTTCCCTTACTTTCCCTCCCCTCTCTCCCTCCTTCTCTTCCTTCCTTTGTCAAAGAAGACAGACATATAGAAAGAGCTCCTATCCTCTGGTTCACTCCCTAAATACCTGTAATGGCTGGGGTTCAGCTGGGCCGAAGCCAGAAGCCAATAATTCAATCAAGGTCTCACGTGGGCAGCAGGGGCCTGACCACATGACCCATCATCTGCTGCCTCCAGGGTGCCCATTAGTAAGAAGCTGGGGTCCAGACTGGAGCTGAGACTCAACCCCAGGCACTGTGACTGACATGAGTCATGGTGGCCCAGGCTTAACCACTATGCCAAATGCAACCCCTGGAAAATATTTTTAATTTTGTTTATTTTATTTGAAAGGCACAAATAGACACAGTGAGATCGTCCATTTGCTGAATCACCCTCCAAATGTGTGCAACGGCCGAGTGAGCCAGGCCAAAGCAGAAGCTGGGAACTCAATCTGAGTCCCCCACGCAGGTGATAGAAGTCCAGGTTCTCGAGCCATCATCTGCTGCCCACCGGGGAGTGCATCATTAGCAGGGAGCTGCATGGGACGTAAAACCAGGACTCGAACCAGGCTCTCTGCTGGGGGGTGTGGGCATCCCAAGCAGCGTCTTTATGGAAAACATGTTTAAATGGTGGCGCTATTGGCAGAACTGTAAACTGTGATAACTCTCCTGGGAAGGGATTGGACCCTATCAACAAAACAGGGTGCGTGTATGGCCACTGAAGGTTCTGAGCATCGTTAGTCATCAGGGAAGTGCGAAGGAAGCCATACTGAGCTCTGATGTCACTCGCCTGCTAGGGCAGCTGCACTAGCCCAGGGCAGCTGTGATGTCACTCGCCTACTAGGGCAGCTATATCATCACTAGCCCACTAGGGTAGCTGCACTAGCCCACCAGGGCAGCTGTGACATCACAAGCCTGCCAGGGCAGCTATGACATCACCAGCCCTACAGAGTAGCTATGACACTAGCCTACCAGGGCAGCTATGATGCCACTAGACTACTAGGGCAGTTGTGACATCACTAGCCTACTAGGGTAGCTATGACATCACTGGCCCATCAGGGTAGCTATGATGTCACTCACCTACTAGGGCAGCTATGACATCACTAGCCCACCAGGGTAGCCATGGTGTCACTAGCCTTTTAGAGCAACTATGATGTCACTAGCCAACCAGGGCAGCTATGACATCACCAGCCCACCAGGGCAGCTGTGACATCACTAGCCTACTAGGGT